GCAATGATCACAGTCTTGTATCCGAAAGCCTGCAAGTTATTTGGCTAGTTAGGAGTAAAGGGAAGAAGGTCTCTATCTTGCCTTGGGAAAAAGTTTTACTTTTAACACATTCTTAAAACATATACTAAACCTTAAGAGACAGAATAACTATAGCTTGTGGCTATATCAAAGAAGCCACACCATCAATTCTTCCCACTCTCTCATGGTAGATTAAAAGGACATGAATCAACCTGAAGAGTGGATAATTAACTATTGATATAAGTTGTTTCAGGAGCTCTGCTCTGCATGGTTTTGCAGTTTTAGTTTCCCCTTTTGTTGGCATGAGAAACCTACCCAATCTCAGTTCAGCTGCAAACTACAAACAAAATGAGGGTAATCATAATTTGTGCAGAGTGACTACAAAGTGCTAGAGCTTTGATATACAGGGTTATTGAAGTATTCTGCTGCAGCCCAGACACTGTTCCTTACAGCATGATCATATTCTGAAAGTTACATATGGTTGACTGTTGCCAGATACAACTTGCTAAAACGGACAAAGAAAAATTTTAGGGATGGATAATAATATAAGTAATCATTGTATTAATTGATTGCTTCCTTGCTAATGTTTCCACATAGCAACCACTCACAGCTAGTCTTGGCTGCAAGGTTTATCACATCCTGTGTAATCTTTTTTCCACTGAAGAAGATTGCTAATCAAAAGCTAAAGAAAGGTGGAGAAGCAGCTGTAACAAAACTCAGCATTTAAGATGGAAAATAGAAGAAATAAGTACAAAATATCAAAGCAGTGTTATTGTTATATAAAGGATGGAAGTAGGAGATCACCTACAAGTAATTATAAATTGTTAATTCTTGTGATTAAGTTTCCACTGTCTCCCCTTTAATGCTTTGATGTATACTTCAACCTCTAAAATTTGCCTGAGAGACAACATGAATAGTATTATGTGATTTAAGTCTAACATAGTTGTCACTATGATTCCTCAGAAACACACCAGCTTTCTTTCAACCCCAGCTCTCCTTGACTGAACTGATATACCATGACATAGTGTGCCAGGCAGTCCTGTAACATGATCCTTCAAGACATGCAATACTGAACAATATAAAAATTATTAGGTGACAAGGTTATCATAGCACAATAGCATAAAGAGATGTAAATTTGTGCTTTGCCTTGTATTGCCTCTATCATCTTTAGTTTCACCTGCCCCTTTTCTTCTTCAGCTCCTTGCACAGATTTAGGACATCAATACCCATGCAGACCCTTTGCTCAATATGCAAAGATGAGATGGCTAGAGATAAGCTGCAGTTGTCCTCTCCTTCTCTTGGCACTTCTCCCTGGTTGGACCATTATCTTCTGTGAAGGAGTTTGGCTAAGACAGAAGCTCTATACTTAAAGAGGATGCTAGAGAGAAGACAACCTCAGGCTATTCAGTGCTAACTGGTGGTGCAGCATTTATCAAAGGGAATCAAGACCTTCCAGGCACAGGTTCTGGTCCCCTCAGCATGTTCAGATCAGCTGGGAAGCAAGTCTGTGAAGAGACACATCCTCACACAGAGCCCTGTCAAATCACTGTTTGTCCAAAATCTAAATTTAGTCCTGAAAGACTCAAATAGCATCTTTTACAAATGCAAAAGGCAGAGTTCCAGAACCTGGTGAAAAAACTTGAGAATTCTAACTAAAGGTTTTCTCCACATGAGCCCGACAGTAGAAAAATGCTTTGGTTATTCTATACCACCTCTGAAGTTTTTTGCTTCAAAACGTGCATTTCACTCAGTAGAGACAAAACTTGAGTAAAATTACTCGTAAGCAAAAGGACAATAACACAGTAATTCCCTTAACTGTTTAAGAAATTATTTCAAAGCTATACAGTTGCTGAAACAGATTTGCAAGTACAGTTAGGATAGTCACATTATCTAATCAGCAGTGATACTGATGGGGAAGGAATGGCTAATGTCAACAGGGATGTCAGCATAATATACTTGAGGAAGAGATTAACACAGCTTTTTTTTTTTAATAAAAAAGTTTGTTTATGGTCTACAAGAAGTGGAACTGTAGTCACTGCTTCTGCCTTCCTCTGTACCTCTTGAAGTTTACATACGTAAGATGACATGTAAACTGTTCCCTTACTCACTCATACCCTCCCAATTCACACCTGTGATGTCAAAGTGCTTTAGTTGCCGATTTATTTCTACCCAAAGCAAGAGATAGATGCACTGAAAAAACATTAGAAACAGAAATACAAAGTTAAGGATAATCTTCAATGTTGCAACCATGGACTATCTCTTCCTCCTGCTTTGCATAAATGAAATTCCAATATCTACTGCAGAACCTATTCAATGCTTCCAGTAAAGATCAGCAGTGGTACATGGGCCATCACCATTCCACAATTTTCAACTTCATTAAAAATAATCCAAGGCCAGTTGTCATAGAAATGGTGTGGGTTTGTTTTGGGTTTTGGTTCTTTTTTTTCTTTTTTCAAAGTCAGCCTTTAACAAGCTGTTGATTATGGAAAGCAGGAAATCTGATACAAGGTGGCTGAAGGCTAGTAGCTAGGCACGTAAGAAAAGAATGCATAGACCTTTCACTGCTTCAGACTCTGGAGTCTCTGACCAAAGCACTGATTTGATTTCATGACTGCTCTGTACAGATAGCTGACATTACTAAATGCTACTCCAGTATCAACTTGTTAAATTTGAACCCAGACTCAGCATATCAATATACTAGGCCAGACTAACTGGAGTCAAGAGAAATATTTTGGGAGTTGTTTATTTTTAAATGAGTCACAATGCACCATGCTAATTAACTGGACTATATAATTAAATGATTGCCATAGAATCCATTATATTTGTCACAAGGACTGTAATAGCAAATACAACAGTATTTATCTATTTTATTCCAGTGAATCGCTGAATTGCTATAAAGTCAACTATGTTTTTTGCTTGGTTTGATGAGGGAAGCTTTTAAATTTTTTGATAACATGTTTTATTCTATAAAAACTGATTTTACATAAAGACTGAAAGGGCCATTTCAGGACTGAAGGGCTCCTGTGCCTGTTGCTGTATAAAGGAATCTGAAAAAAGTATACTGCTATAAAACCTTTAGTGTCCAGTTTTCTGATGTCACAGATTTTTTCACTTACATGCAGATATGGCACAAATCTAAATACTTGCAAATACATTAAAAGTACAAGATAACTACAACAATTTGGGATTCAGACTCTTTTTTCCTGTTATTTTTTTATTTTTAACTTGTCTCTCTCATCTTCTAGTCAGAAGATGAAATCTTAAGAATTCCACAATAACATAGTAAGAATGCTCAACTACCACAGAAGCATGCTATCAAGCGCTTTAAAAAGTTAACTCTCCTTAGATTTTTATGTCAATCCACTGTAAACACTGCTCCAGGAACTGAAACAAACTATTGTCAGTCCAGTATCCTACCAGATTTTCTGGAAATGTTTACTAACAATCCAATCCTGAACTTGGGATTGTATCTAAACTGAATTTATTAAAATTCACTCAGTATTAAAATATAAAATATCTTACGTATCAACTGCCATTAAACACAGAGGCTAGCAGTGCAAGTTGACAAGAAATGTACTTGAAGTGCATGACTCAACATGTTTTCTTTTTTACAATACACATTTTAAAAATCACTAGACCCAGACTACTTAAAATAAGTCATAATCTGTTTGTGCTTATTGTGGAATTTACCATCAATTTTACAGTTTTATTTTGGGATGAGGAATCACCCAACTATGCATAGTGATTACCAGTGATCCACTCTGAGTTTTATAATGAAGCTTAAAGATAGACCACACTTTTACAAGAAGGAAAGTGCATTTTTCTTCAAACCTTTTAAACCAAAAAGCAATATAAAACTCCAAAGAAGTCACTACTCTAAAGGTAACAACACACTGAAAATTACAGGCTAGTACCTCCAAGGTAGTTATATTACTAGTTTAGAAAGGGACTGTCATAACTATAGATCTTTGGCATAAAGCCTTTTGCTTAAGCAAGCATATTAGTTATATGGCAGTAGTGTCAATTCATAGAGAATGAGATCTTAAAACAATTTTGGCAAACATCAACTGCAGCACTTTTATCAGCATTCACAATTAAAACTAATATATTAATATTCAGATCCTTCAAGTCTTCACAGTGTTACTTAAACAAGTCTTAAAATCTACATTTCATGTGGCTTATGCCTTACTAACTCCCTAAAGAGTTAATAAAAGCAAACACACTTCTGCAATTTAGTTGGACATGAGTTTCATTACCAAAAAAATATATTTAATATAAGCCTTCTAGACCCAAGTACTATAATTTGAACAGCAATGTTGTTGGGAGAGGTATTAAGTTACAGTGTACAGCTCAAGCTGAAGTAGTGGTTGGAAGAAAAAAAAAAAAAAAAAAAAAAAAAAAGAGAGAGGAAACTCTGAAAATTCCTGTGGTTCAGGGTGTATACAGAAACAAATGGTATTTACAGTGTCTCTGCTCAAATATTACTTATCTTTAATTCTACATACAGCAAACTGTCCTGTAAAAGAAAGCCTATATGAAATAAACCTAAAAGACTCTACAATAATGCATTCATTTTCACCCATTTTCTATGCAATTTTAGTAATTACTATTAATTTATTGAGAAGTTCTTATTTAAAACTACAAAACTTCATCCGAAGCTTAAATAATTCCCATGTCTAGATAACTAGACAAGAAAAACCCTTGGAGTTCATATAAACAGGAAATTATTGTTTATTATATATTAAATACAGGTATTTCACTGTAAGACCTATTTATCTATGCTACACTATGTACAACATCCTAAGAAACAAGTCTAAAACCCGTATGTTACAGATAATATAAAAATGAGCTTCCCAACAGTGACAGTTTGACACCATTAGGATATTCTGAAATCGATGCATTTAAGTCTTGATTTTATTATCTTCCAGTTAAATTTCAGCTGTAAAATGCTGTCAAATTTTTCTATAAACCAGAGCACTTACCTTATGGGGCCTCCACAAAGAAGTGCTAGACATTTCCCTTTTAGAGGTTCCACATCTTTTCTTAACACCAGTTGTTTTTCCTTCATTCCCAGGTTTGAACTGTATGTGCAACTGAGACGTCCTTGCACTATGACACTTGTATTTAAGGCTGGATAAACAGCAAGAAACTTTTTGACGTGATCCTTCCAGCGAAACACTTCTTTGCAAAACATGGTGGGTTTTGTTCAGCTGTGCATTCAGTCTTTCTGGTTCATTTATATTAATCCCATATTCCGAATCTATTTTTGCAGGTAAACATGCAGATGTGCTACGTGCCAGTTTTAAATGAGGGTATTTTGCACTGGAGTTCAGATTTAACTCTGGACTGCAACAGCCATTAACCATTTCACTGCTCGATGCAAATGCTCTTTGAGTTAGATGAACTGAAATACATGAGCAGCCATCAGATACTTCTTCACCAGTTGCCTGCTTGGAACTATTCAGAATTTTACTTTTGTCCTGTAATGATGTATTCAAGTAGAGCGGTCGAATGTCTCTGACTTCGCCAGAAGAGCAAACTGTTTTAGACAGTCGAAGTCCATTGACTGCTGTTGAAAGGAATCCCTTGGAAATGGTTTGATCTTCTTTTTGTGCCAGCTCACTAGGAGAAATAATTAGTTTATGGGATGTTTGATAGGCACCTCTGTGTGGTAGCTGACCTGAGCTTACTGGAGAAGCTGGAGGAGTACTGGAAGGACTCCTAGGGAAAATAACCAGTGATGAACAACGTCGCAGTGGAATTTTAGTTTTCTTCCTCACTGACAAAGCATCTTGGTCAAAAGTAGTATTATTTCTACTCAGAGTTTCCTGAGACAAGTTGTTCCTATAGGGATTACATTTGTTAGCAGTGCTTGTATATGAAGAGTCACCATGCACAACACTACTACAGAAAGTACCATCACTTGTCGAAAGAGTGCCACTACCACTGTCACTGATGACACTGTTAGTATATGAACCTCCATCACTTGTGGTACTTGCACATGATCCATAGTCACTGCCAGCGCTGCTGAACGATCCACTGTCACTGGCTGCAATACTGCCAAGACTGCCATTGTACTGAGCAGTATTGCTCAGAAGGCCATCATTAGATCGATGATCAACCACAATTCTAGCACCACAATTTCCTTCATTACCAATACCAATGAATGAAGTGTCTTCACCAGTAGCTACGGCATCGCCAGACCGAAAACACCCACTATACTTTCTAGACTGTAGAGAAATGTGCAGTGAGGTGCTCTTTTTTATCTGCAGTGAAGAAATAGTTGCATTTTCCTCTTGATTAATTACTTGTTGCATTACAGGTGCATAAGCAACTTGCCTAGGAACCAGTTTCATTTGTGTCACATTAGGTGCAGAATTCTGCGATTTTCTGAAGTACATACAATTGTTACTATCCAAAACATCTTCAGAGGTTTCCGATAATGGATCTGTGTTGCTTCTTTGGGTAGCAAAATGCAATCTTAACCGTCGTGCCATTTGTTCTCATTTCCATGCATGATAGCAAATGAAAACCACAAAGATCCTTCAGCAGAAAGGCTACAGGCAGCTGCACAGAACCTAGAGCTAGTACATCACAACAGTAAAAGCCCATAAAAATTGCAGTCTTTGTCCTACTTTCTACAAGATACTAGTGTTAAAAAAAAAACCAACTGTACCTCTTGAAATAAGTCAGCCATTCGCTGAACTGCAGTTTCTGGACCGTCTGTGATTGCTTGCAGTCAGAAAGCATTCATTTACAAAGCACTTACATTCCAGCGACCTCAGTTGCAACACACTGACAAACACTACTGACCTTGTTTCAATTGTACCTTCTGTAATTTGCATAAATACAATAATAAACTTCCAGTACTTCCAAGATTAAAACAGCAACTCCTGCTGCAGCTGCACTAGCTGAGTCAATGTGTCCGTACTTTCCTCAGCAGCGTATGACTACTAATATTTTTACCCATAGGTTTAGAATTACAGGAAGTTGGTAGGAATGAAGTCCCATATAATTGAGTATCAAGTCTAGGATTGAATTTCCAAATAGTAACCATGCTAGCAAACTGCTGAGGTCTGAATTATGCATAAACCAGTGAAATAAGCCTCCTTCCCCATTAAAAAAAAAAAAAAAAAAAAAAAAAAGTCTTTCAGCACTGTTTAAATAAAACTTGAAAGCAAGCTGGCATTATCTTGCAATCTACACGCTGTTAAGCAATCTCACTTTTTCAAGATTTGCACACAGCAGAAACCTCTCCTGCCAATTAATTCATAATTTTCAGTGAGGGGTAACTGAATTAGAACAAGAAGCTATTCTGATTAATAATTTGGCATTTATTTTCAGCCAACAATGTTAACCTTTTATTTTGTATTTTAACCTTTCCAAACTACAGCTGTTAAAGGTAGAAAGAAACAAACTATTCTTACAAACTGAACTACCTCATCTTGTTTGCTGGAAGCCCACAGTAAGCAGACATTCATTAGAGTTGATTATGGCATGCAAATATATGACCAGCTACACAAACTTTAGCACACAGAACTAAGCATGCACAGAGATAAATACAATTACCAAGCACAGTTACAGAAGAAAGCTATTCTGTATAATTATGTACAAACTGTCTTATATATTCATAGCTAATTACTGATTTGTTTTTGTTTTTTAGATAAAGTGATCAGCATGTCTAGAAGTCAATATACTGTCAACTCTTACAAGAGTAATGGGATTGAGAATTCCTACAAAATGTTCCACTGCTTGTATCTTCTGAAAAGGTCCTTTGCTGGCACCTAGCGGGACTTCTGAAAAAAGACAATCTTGAATCTTGCTGTTAAGTGGGGTTTTGTGTTGGTTTTTTTTTTTTTTTAAAAGAAAACCCAAAACACACACACACAAACATTTGGCTATGAATGTACTTTTCAACACAGAAGCCATATATGATGCAGTACTAAACGCTACCACACTAACATGAAATTACTTAGTGCTGCTGAAAAAGTGCAAACAGAAGAGAACACTAGGCCATTTATACTTTTATAGGTCATACTACTAGATTTTTTTTCTGCTCCATATTTATTTAACCTTTACTGTATTTTAAGCTAGAAGGCAGTAAAATTAACATTTATACCTCCTTCCCAAAAAAGAGCCAAGAATCAAATTCACAGTACCCTGTTTGCAAGCAACAAATTTGTTTTCTAATTATACTCCAGGGCTTACTTAACCTCCGTTACCTGAATTCCATTATTAGAACGCAGCAATGAATACTAGCTTATTCATAAAAAGCCAAATAACAATAGTTCATTTATTTCATTGTGCTTTACTAACTGGACTTCTTCTAATGTTATATTTTGGAAGGGGACTGGGATAGGGAGGAGAAGAGGAAAGGAAAACACCATAAAAGATTCTTGTGGTCACAGTTTCAAAAAGTTACATTTGAACTTCCAGCAGTGCATTAAAAAAACAAAAAACAAAAAACAAAAAAACCCAAAACACACCCAAAAAAACCCCAAAACATAAACCCCACGCTAAGATATGTGAAGAGTAAAAAATGCATTTCTTAAAGCTCCTCTTCTCCCCAACAACAACTTTATTAGTAGCACACTTTGTAATGTGTTAGCGTGATACACAACAAATTGCAACCACTTAATTAAAGATACTGCTTTTAGTAAAAGAAAGCAACACCTTCTCCCCCAATAGATGATCTGAAATATTTTTCCAATTTTATTAAAGAAACTTCTAAGCAAATGATAAGCTGACATATTTTGGTAACTCATGCTTAAGATTCAAGTGAAATTTCTCAACATGTCACTCTTCCTTAAGTATAACTGTATAGGTATAGCCAACCAACTAGTTTCCTTAGTCAATATAAAATGGCCTTCGAAATGCAAAATTCTGTCTTGCTGAATTAGAGTTGTCATAAAAATAGTAATTTTTTATAAGTACCAATAGCTCCATTTAAACCTTAACATCACTTACTTCTCCAGTATCAAGAAGAGATTTTGGCACTTTGTTTGAGATATACATAATTTTGACAAGTTATTGTAAGACCGGAAGAGACAGCAAAAAGTTATTCAGTCCCTCCACTGATTCATCTCATAAGTGATCTCACTGTCCTTCTTGACAGATTTTTCTAATGTGTTTTTAAAGACAACCATAATGAAGGGCTCCACAAACTGCTCAAGCCCTTTATTCTACTAATGGTTTGCAACAAGTCAGCAGAACAAATTACATTTAGTGTTCCCTTACTAAATCCAAGCCAGACGATCTTTGAAAAGTTTTAAAGCTATTACAGAAAGTTTTTAAAACTCCAGTTGTTGGCAATATAAACAATGCAGTGGGACTTTGAATTTAAGCCTAACATTGAAGAAAAGTTTTGAGCCTGGTTTTCAAGAAAGCAACACTTCTTAAAACCAAAAAAACCCACCACAACAGAGACTTCAGGCTTCAGCTTATCCCCAAAAGTTACCAGGAATAAAAGCACTTGAGACATATTTTGAAAAAGAAGAAGTTACCCATTGGGAGGATGGTCTCACAAATGTAAGAGAATTTCAGTTTTATCAGCTTGCTCACATCTAGAGTTTAAGCAGTCATCCAATAGGTAGAAGAAAGAAAGAATGGTTAACACTTAAGCCCACTAAAATAACGGAAAATTAAGCACATTCTGATCATAGCTGCATATCCTAGTGAAAGAGTGCAAGGCACCTATGATTTCTGACATGTGAAGATGAATTAATAGAAGTGGGGGAGCTTGTCAATGCTAAACAACAATCACAGCTAAAGCAACAATTTGACATTTTAAAACAGCTCAAGATATCTCAGATAGAAATTTAAGTGTTTCTGAGAGCATGCTAAAGAGAAATAGGGAGATAGGCTTTTCCATTTGCCGAATGAGGAGATGGAAAAGATGAAAAATATTGGGGTTATTGCAGAACTATACAGTGACTGATGAGGTCGTGATACTTTGATCTCTAAATATAATCATACATAGGAAACAAAGCACCATTTCCAAGCTGATGGCAATAAAATGTTTTATCAGTTCCTTTTCCATAAGCGAACAGGTCAAACAACTTCTCTACTCTAGATAAGAGAAAGAATGCTAAGGAATTCTCTTGGAAAGCACAAAGAAAGCATTGACCTTCTCCCAAAAAAGTCAGGAATCTGACTTTCTAACCATGCCTCCTGGCTTCCAGGGGGTGGCAGTAATGTTCCAACGACAATATCTGGGATGGGTGATAACCACCAGTCAAGAAGCAAATGGTTTGGGGACTGTGCGATGTCTATAACCAAGAAACAATCCTCTTCTTTCTTAAATCTAATTATTCTAGACAGTTAGTACTTTTATTTACATACATTATCACTCTTCCCAACTTTAGCAGAGGAGCACCTCCATAAAAGATACAATGGATTACTGAATATATGCAGAAAGTATTAGGAAAAAATGGTAAGATTTTCATAGCCAACACACTATTCAAGCACAAAAAGATCCTTTATAACAGCTATCAGAAGAAAACTGTGTTTGGAGTAGAAACTAAAGAGCACTCAATCCCTCCTATTAGTTTCAAACTATTGCAGAAGGAAAAGGTATATATTCCAGCGAGAAGGAATGTCTGTGAAGTGGCCCTAGGATGCAAGTGTCACACCTGTACTGCTACCAGCCTTACTCATTTACAATAAAACATAGAAAGATAGGCAAGTAGACATCTTCACATGTAAAATAAGAGCATGGTTAGAGGAGAAGTTCTGATTTCACTGAGAAAATAAATGCACAAGCTATCCCAATCTTACTTACGACTGCCATTCACAGAGTGACACCTATCTACAAGATCACAGTCTGCTGTCCACTTGTTAAGATTCCCAAAGAAAATACACACATGCTTTCTTCCATGCTTCTCCTCACACATTGAATAAGATTCTCACACCATGTACAGAGATACCTATGTTGTCCATACTACTTTGTGGGGAAAAAAACCCATCCAGTGTAAAGCTTTCATTATCACTGAAGAATTTGGCCATATAATTTTAAAAGCACTATAAAAGAATGACATTTTTATGAGTTAAAGCATATCAGAACTTAAGAATAATAATATAACTGCTTCAGAGCATCACAAAGTATGGTAATGTCAGATAAGTAAACAAGTCAGGTCTGCTTTTAGCTTTAGGTTTCATTATAGAAGTTAAGATCGTTTGGCGTGTTTTTTCTATCCATGTTGAATCCAGATGAACTTACTTACTTTCATTCAAGTCTTTAATACATTGCAGTATTAACACAAAAGGACCTACCAAACGGTTTTCATCAAATACTTCAAAAAGGAGTCTGTGTTTCTGAGGATTAACCTAGGAAAAAGAAATATGTTAATAGTTAAAATATATGCTGAATTCCAGCATTTGTCTTCAGCAAAATCTCTATGTTTATGCAGGAGGAAAGAAATACCTAAGACCTAAATTAAACAGCAAATCTACACCTTGCTGCCATTTCACTATGCAACACATTTCTGTTGGAACCAAT